CCCTTATTACAAGACATCCCTTGTAAAGGCATGGTGAGAACTGATTTTTAATTCTGTGCAGATTTGTATGGTGTGGTTTCTTATTAAGTGTGCATGTTGGCACACAAACTCATTTTTTATATACTCTGAATATTTATACTTAAAACAGTTTTCAGAAATGTCTAATTCAATTAAAATGAATTTCTGGAATATTTATGTGGGTGAATTCCTTGCCAAATTGAAGTTTACTTTCTTTAGCTAATGCCTATCCTGCAGTATCCTTTAGTATTTTGCAAAATATATTGCATCAGGTTGATATTGCAGAAATAATCAAGGCTTATCAGAGTATTCCTGATAATTTAACCTTTTCCTGGTTGTTTGCCAGAGAGGTCATGTCAAAAGAGAATTTACAGAGGAGTGCACATGTTCATTACTGTTTAATTGATAGCATTGGGCCAGAGGCTGCTAACTGCCTCCTTCTTAGAATCCCCAAACATAGTATTTCCATTTGTAGATTCGTGCATAGTGGGTGCTCTTTCTTGGTGTCATTCATTGCAAGTAATTTGGAAGCAGAGGTTATCCTCAGTACCCGATATATGATTCTTTTTCTAAGGACACAGAAATGACTGAAAGGCAAAGTTTCCCCTGTTCTTTGTTTCAAAAGTAATTCAGCTTTGAATTAATGAAATGTTCATTCTACTGAAGAACATAAGTCTTCTGAGATCCTGCAAATCTTTTCTTTTATTTATGCTTTGTTCAGAGATCTGATCAGTTGGATGAAGACCTGTATAGATACTTGACCTAGCAAAGAAGTCTCTAGAGGTGACCCCTGTACGAAGTAAGCCAACGTGCTTAATTTCTTTGTCTCAAAAGGCAGTGTACCTCCTTCAGGCGTGAATCTGTATCTCGATAGTAAATCTTAATTTTGACTGTGAGCAAAACACAATGGAATCACATCAAAGCATTTGCAATACTCTAGAAAAATATGCATAAAAGCATAAATATATGGAATATGTATATAGATATATTATTCAAAGAAACATGAATAGAATTATTATAATCTTTTTTCTTTCACTGTGTTCATCTTTAATGCTTTATGTTCCTTTTTATGCTTACAAGTTAAGACAAAAGGGGAGGAGATTAAGCAGTTGGGTTAAGTGTGAACGTGTTGTGGGCAGAGTGAACAGCAGGACTGTGTGCAATCTGGCATCTCTCTTCTGTTTTCTTTATTGTTGCAGCTGAAGAAATGAAATAAGCCAGTGCATTTGTTTTACTTAGTAGAAAGATAAGCTTCATAAATATTGGTGGCTGGCAATCTGGCTAGTCCTTGAAGGCATATTATTCCATTTCTGGTTTATATCAATATGAAAATTCTTATTTTGCAATTCTCAACCAGCATAAGCTGCATTATGGTTGATAATTTCCTGTGTTCTGTACCCTAAACACTTATTTCTTCACTCAGTAGAAGGAGGAAAAGAAAGATATTTGGCACTCTTATTTTTGTTTTGAACTGTATCATTTTACTAAAAAGTCTTACTACTAAAATTCATATCTGGAAAAAAACCCAAGAATCTTATAGTTGATTCTTATGCTTGTGAAGGCTGGTGTTCAGTACTCCTGCTCTGAACATCATTTCTGCTTTAAGCTAATGTTATTCTATTTGCAAATTTCAGTCACGCAAATGAAAGCCAGATTCTTCTTGCCTGCCAGGGAGTGCAAAAAGGAGCCTCGTGTGGCTCTGCCCTTCCCTGGTTGCTGGCGTGGTTTTTCTGATCTTCTGCCATAGCAGGGGACCAGTGCAGCCTTTTTTACGTTGCTGCATTCTGCCAGCTTTCTGAAGGAATAAAGAGAAATCAGTTGAGAAATTGTTTGAATTGTAAATTTATTTTTGACTCTTCTCCAAAGTTTTGGGAAGTATAACTCTTGCAGCACGGCAGGGAAAGATGCCTACATCAAATGTCTAGGTACAGTCCTAAGACTGAACAAAATCATAGTGAATTTCCCAGGGCACTATTGAAACAAAGCGACATCGTAGTTTAGCTGAAGATAAAATCACAAATAGTCCTTCATTAATCGGTCTACTTATAAATTAATTATTCAATCTGGTGTATACAACATTTTTCTTTATGACTGATGAGGAAAATGGCAACTCTGTAAAAGTTTAGTAAGGAAACAATAGCGTGAATCTAGACTGTTTCCAAAATACAAATGGTGAAAATAACACATATCCTTCTGAAGAGGATTTTTCATCAATAAATTTCAAACCACTCTGCAAAAAGGTTTTGTGTCCACATTCCCATTTTACTGATAGTCCAGCTGTATGTGTAAATCTGTAACTAAATAAAGCCAGAAACTATGACTGGGAAGGAGTCTGACAGAACCTGGAGACTTTGTTAGTGTGACCCAGGCCCTAAACTTTAATTGAGGCTTTAATTCATGAGTAGGCAGAATAAAAGGAAAGATAAAATTATTCCTTATCTTTACCACTACAGCTGGGTTTGATGCTGTGGTAGGAATTTCAAAGATCAGGTCTAGCTGTATTATTATTATTATTATATATTTCAACTCAACAGTTGAAATTCCATGACATAGACTTAAAATTTATGAGCTTTCTTTTAATAAATTGGGTGGAGGGGGTTGGTTTTGAAATTTGTAGTCTTGGATCAGGCTTTTTACCTTTTTTATGTGATGATCGAGCAGCCTAGAAAGTGTTTTATTTCAGCTGAAATCTGAGAGATTCATGTAATCATATGATCGTAGAAGTTGAGACCTTTACAAAGAAACAATGATGATTAAATAGCAACTGGTAAGGTTGCTTGCTGTTGCAATGTATTCATACAATCAGATGTCCTTCATCCCTGTCTTTCAGCAGTACAGCAAAGATATTCTATTAGGCTCTGGACTCGGCCTCCCTTTGCATTGGAATTTATTTTTCTCCTTTTGGTGGAGAGCTGCTGTGAAGGCTGGATCTTAGAATAGTTTTGTTCTCAAAGACCAAAGTTATGAGAAGGCCAGGAGAATATATTTCAGGCAACCTGTACCTCAAAATTATTGAAAAGAACCCAAATTAAAGAAGCAGATTAAGGTCATGAAGAGAATTAAGCTTGCTTATTATTCCAGGTGCAAGATGACATCTCAAATTGTGAGTTGTTATAACATTTTAAATTATTGCCTCAAAGCAGAGCTAATTAATTTTGTAGAATTAGTTTAGGACTATGGTAACATTTAATTAGGAAGTCCTATTAGCATTTCTTCTATTCAGTGCTTTGTATAGAATATCAGATTTGACTTCCTCAATTAATTCTGCTAACTCCATGTCATAATAAATCAATTGGCTTTGCTTTTTGTTTATGTACTAATTCTTAGTGTCTCTAAAGCTTTTGGAGCTTAATGGTATTAATGTGTCTTCCTGAATTCTAGGAATATTTTATTGTTTCTGTTTCGTAGCTAGAAAGGTAAAGAACACAATACTGTAGTTTTAAAGCAGCATTAAGATGTCATGGTCCTTCAGTGTCTGAGACTTGCCCTTGGTCATTGGGTTAACCGCATCTTACACTCTTT